TTGCCAGCTGTCAGATAGTTGACAGTTCTGTGACCAAACAGGACCGGTTCGGCGTCGGGACTGTGACGGGACTGATGTGTCTGAATCGAACTTAAGTGGCAGTGGACGGCCTGCACACGGCGACTTCACCGAACGTCTCAACCGCCGTGTAATGTGAAAGGTACCATGCGATTGCTTGAGTCGTGCGTTCAAACCATCGCACGTTCAAATTCTTAGTGTGTGAAAGGAGCGTTAGACATATATGTTTACAAATTTGTGGTATTTGCTGCTGTATAAAGCCACCCGATTACGGTGTAACCGAACAGTTTTGCTATAACTCACTAAATATTGTAACGATAAATGAAAGGATTAAAAGGGAGAATAACTATTACAAATGGTTTAATCCCGTATAAATACAATATTTAATTTGAACACGCCATAATAAAACGGGTTCAGAATCTTAATAAATTCATATCTTAGTTAGTAATGTGATTTCCAGAATCCCCACATTGTTGGTGAAACATTAGAAATCCATTTCAAAGTAATAAAACAGTGATTCTACATTTAAAATTATTTCCATGGATAATTAGAGCAAAATGTTACTACCATATCCAGTGAGCCCCGATGTGACTAAACCCATTCCGAAACTCTCGCATTGTTCGCAACTTTTAACACCCTTAATTTAATTACCCCTTGAAGATTACAAACGAAAAGAAAAGGAGTCAAGAGGAAGAGAAAGGTGAAATAATTACTGTTGATAGTTACGTCGATATGGAGGCGAAACAACACGCTTCCGGAGTTGCTCGTGATAGTTAAATTTTTGTACAAATACGTGGAAAATGTTCTCAGAAATGAAGTGAAACGGAACTGAAAGTTTTTAAACAGAACGAGGTAGTTCGGGGAAACTTTTTAAAGACTTTTATTCTGTTTTATGAGTTAAATTTTTGATGAAACGTTCGGTCGGAAAGTTACATTATGGGGTATAATTCCAGACGTAGGAAGCTTGAACAGTATTGTCCTTTTTTTTAATATAAAGCTTAAATGGAAATTATTTGTTGATTTCAGAAAATCCATAAACCCTTATACAGTGTGTCAATTTTAATACTTACAATGGGCTATATCTCACGAACAAAAACTGATATTAAAACATGCTTGAAACCGTTTCTAGGATGGCAAGGGAGAACTAAAATGACATGGAAGAGAACTCAGCCCCATCAACCCCCTAGGCCCCACCCACCACAACCAAAAAAGTTTAAATTTTAAATCCCTACTTGTGTTACATCGTTAAAAAGACTATAAAAAAACGTTAAAAAGACTATCCAATGGTATAGATAATAATTATACAGGGCAGCAATAATTGTAAAACTTTGGCTTAAATGGAAAATTTAATGAGGTTTTTGTTGAACTACAAATTTGTTAAAACTGTTAATTAAGTAAATGTTCAAAGTGGGTTCCGTTGTTTTGTAAGAAATTGTGCGTTGGAGATGAGACTACTTCAGAATAATAAAACAAATGAGGACAGAAAATAAGAACATCTATTATTTAGACGAAACGTGGGCTGTAGGGAGAGTTTGGAAAGACAAAACTATAAAAACATGTCGACAAGCATTTCTGGAAGGATATTCAACTGGTTTCAAGGAACCAACAAGTAAAGGTCGACGATTAATTGTTACGCATATAGGTAATATGAATGGATTTCTTAAGGAGGGTTTACTTTTGTTTGAATCAAAAAAGACCTGTGATTATTACGAAGAGATGAACGAAAACGTGTTTGAAGAATATTTTGAACAGATGATTGAATTCATACCTAAAAATTTAGTTATTGTGATGGACAATGCAAGTTACCACTCTAGATTAGTTGAACGTTTACCAACTACTCAATGGAGGAAAGATGAAATTGCAATGTGGTTAACTTCTACGAATTTAATCTTAACCGATACAATGACAAAAGCAGCATTATTAGAGCTTGCTAAAATTAATAAACAAAATTATAAAAAATATGTCATTGAGGAGATGACCAAAAAACGAGGAATTTAAATACTTCGCCCACCACCGTATCATTGCGTGCTAGAATCTGATTGAATTAGTATGGGCCGAAGTTGAAAGTAACGTTGCTCGAAATAATACAACTTTTAAATTGTCAGATGTTACTAATCTTTTTCACAAATCAATATCCGAAGTAACGATTGAACATTGGCCGAAGTAACGATTAATACATTAAAATGTATTAATCGTTATGGATATTAAGAAAAATATGTGGGAGCTTGATCATATAATAGATAGCAGTATAAAACCTATAATAATTCATCCCGGATCGAATAACACTTCGTGTGAAACAGAATATGAGGAAGTGTAACTTTAAACTGTAGCTCAAAAGTTTGTTTTACACTTAAACTAATTACCGTCAACTTCATTGTTTTTTATTTATTTATTTATTTTTTTATTGCTAATATAATTTTCATTCTTATTTCTAATATTATTAGTATTAAGAATATTATTAGTTATTAATAGGAATGTATAAAGTTTTTGTGTATGTATTCTACGTTTCAGTATAATTTATTGTAATTTATTCTTCTTCTTCAAGTTCCACTTCTATCGGAGATTGGAAATCATTCTGGCAATTATAACTTTATTGGTTACTCGCCTGAATAGATCAATTGAACTGCATCCAAACCATTCACGGAGATTACGTAGCCACGAGATTTTACGTCTTCCTACGCTTCTTCTACCTTTGACTTTACCCTGCATTATATTCCTTAGTAGTTCATACTTTTCACCTCTCATTATGTGCCCCAAGTATTCCAATTTCCTGATTTTTATGGAATTTAAAACTTCGCATTGTTTTCCTAGTTGTTCGAGAACTTGTTCGTTTGTTTTGCGATCCATCCATGATATTTTCAAAATACGTCGGTAACACCACATTTCGAATGCTTCTAGGTTTTTAATGTTATATTTTTGAAGTATCCAAGCTTCAACTCCATACACAAGGGTAGAGAAAATATAACATCGAAGCATTCTTATCCAGAGCGATATATTGATATCGCGATTACAAAAAATTTTCTCATTCTATTAAAAGTTGACCGCGCAATTTCAATGCGGCATCTTATTTCTTTTGTCTGATCAGTATCTTCTGTGATCCATGCTCCAAGGTATTTGTACGAAGATATTTGTTCAATTTCTGGATTATCTAGTACTAGCTTAACTTTGATGTTTTGTGCTTTTGTAAATACCATGAACTTGGTTTTCTTCAAATTGATTTTTAGTCCATAATCGTTGCAATATATATTTAGTTGTTCAGCAAGGTGTTGCAGTTCTTCTAGTGTTCCTGCCAGAAGGACGGTGTCGTCAGCATATCTTATGTTATTAAGTGGCTCACCGTTTATTATAAGGCCCTCACTGATCTCGGCAAGCGCTAATTCTGAGATGGCTTCTCTGTATAAATTGAATAACAAGGGTGATAAAATACACCCTTGGCGGACCCCACGGCGAATCTGGATATCCTTGGTCAGTTCTTTTTCAACTTTCACTTTTGCTGTTTGATTCCAATAGAGGTTACAGATGATTCTAATGTCTCTACTGTCTATATTTTTATTTAATAAAATTTCTTTAAGTCAATTATGCTGTACTCTGTCAAATGCCTTCTCAAAATCAATGAAACAGGCATATACCTCCTGATTAATATCTGAGCATCTCTGCGAAAGAACACTTAATGCAAACAGTGCATCTCGTGTTCCCAGTCCTTTCCTAAATCCCATTTGTGTATTACTTAATGTAATTTATTATTTTATATTAAGTGTATGTTTCACAATTAAGTATTGTTTTATAGAGCCTACGTGCATTCTATCATTGGCTATGGATGTCGTTTATACGGATCCTCTGGTAATACCAATCTAAAAAAACAAACAGAATTCAACATAAATATCTTAGAATTTGCATCGGTGGGATGGTATCATCACCGGTGAAAGCAATACTGGCAGAGTGTAATGAGTTACCTTTGGACTTGCGTCGGCAAATGTTATCACAAAAATATCTTTTAAAATTATAATCCCTTGAGTCAAACATGATCAACAAATTAAGTAGGCACAAGAAGACCTAACAAACTAAATTGGTTATTGGAAAATAAAGCTATTGGAAACTAAAAAATTCTCCTCCACTTGCAGAAGCTTTTGTTGAGACTAATGCTGATCACATTTCTTTTAGTAAAAATAAAAAATTGCTTATGTATACCCTTTAGATCACTAATAAAACCACACAGAGTTATAATACCCAATTATACAGAATATAATCATATAAACCATACCCTTTTAAAATCTATATTGGATGGATTAATAAATAACATAATTATATATACAGATGGATCCAAAACAAAACACGGAGTTGGTTGTGGAGTTTTTATTCAAAATACAAAACAATCATTTATGTATAAATTAGGTTTGGCTGATAGTTTGGCCAAGGAGGCAGTACAAAACGGAGTTCATTGAAATATTTTCTTTCATTAAATATATCACACATTTTGTTAACTGCCAATAGAAACACCTTAGAACTTCTAGTAAATTTTATTAAAGAAGTAGAAATAGAAATTTAAAGCAGCATAACCCACAAATCTGTATTTATACTATAAGGAAAGTTCTGCATACAACATTCTGTGGCAAATGAACTTGATTCCGTGCCATTATCTTTCCACAAACACAATTAAGTATTGAATTGGATTAATTTCTTTGTTCTAAATGTCCAAATAAATTTAACGCGAACTTTTCTTTTAAGATTACGTTTTAGTTACAAGATTTGCAGTGTGCACGCATATGTATTTTGAGGTTCGAAGATTGATATTCTGAGAATTTACTCCAGCTAATTTTTCAAATATACTATAAAAGTTTATAAAATGGAGGTAACCTGGTCAATAAATAAATAAATACAAGTAATAAATTCTTTTGTCATAGGAAAAGAAAAACATAATCTAATAACGAATAAAAGTTAGACGAGACGAAACAGGAGCCTTTATGTAAGAGAATAATAATTACCATTAACAGTAAGCGGAACGACGTACTTCTCCGCACCGGCGACGTTGCTCGCTATGCACGTATAATTTCCGCTGTGGGCGGAAGTCACCTGATCGATAATTAATGAAGAAGCGAACTCGTCAATTCGTCTAATGACGGTCCCCAGGGCCGCGTTGTTGGAGACAACCTTCGCGTTCCGTTCCCAACGGAAAGTAATGGGCAGGTCGCCTTCCATGATTTGGCAGGTGATCGCGGCTCTCATACCTTCCCTTAATAGATCTGTCATAGGGTTTATCGGCAGGATTTTCGGTGGAACTGCAACGAAAACAGACAGGTTAATTAAATTTATCGAGAAGATAAGTTCGCCAAGCAAAATAAATTTAATCTACTTGGAGTTTGTTTATATACTTCGGTTGTCTGACATATATTAAAACTGTTATTTTTAATTAGATATAAAGTGTACACCAAACACATGCAGATGTTTATCATATTTCAATTGTTCCCATATTATGTATCTGAAAGGTCAGCATCAATAAGACTTTTGTATTAGTCTTTTTGTAACATTTATCTAAGGTACTTTTAGAAAATTTCATATAAGGTACACGTTTTACGTTTATAAATTTGTAGAAATACCATACAGTAACTTTAACACGAGCTGTTTCATAGATTATTTCACAAGGCTTTTGATAAAGTCTGATTTAAACAGCTAATGTGTAGTATTTCTATTTTCCTTTAGTATATTGTTACGATAATAAATATTATTGCGTATAAAAACTGTAAACATATTTACTCATTCACGAATGTTCTAGGTCAAATTCTCCAGAAGGGTCGAATAACCAGTTCAGGTAACAATAAGGCAGTCGACGGCCCGAGCCCTCCGAATTTTTAGACGAGAAGGCGATCTACTTTTCTAGTCTAGCTGAATAAGTCACCTAATGGATGGAACGTCATCGATGCATCGCCAGACCCTTCTAGATAACGGCATTTTATATAAATAACGGTTGAGGAGAGTCAGTCAAAAAGAAGTCCTGTCTCGCGTTAAAATTGTATCACACGTAAATAAATTAATTGTAAAATAAGTCAGTAATAATAAAGACTTTAATAAATTTGTGAGTGTTACAAGTATAGAACCTTTAATAAATAAGAACAATAAATTAGAATTAATAAGAACATTATAATATATTAAAACAAAGAAAAATATTTTCAATCTTTTTGCGTCACTGAAATTGATAATATAAACATTTTAAGTCTGTGTATATAACACAAATCCGTATTTCTTTGATCGTGATGCCGTTTAATATTGCGCGTTAAATAAATATCCACTTAGGTTGGTGAGAAAGTACCCGGGGAGGCCAACGATTTTTGAGGATGATGAGATCACTCGACGATTGAACGCCAAAGTATTTGGTTTCATCGGTTAGTCCGGATTTTCTTCAAATTCATTCAAATAGCTTGCGGCGTGTAGTTCCTCAACGTAGTGGGTTTAAGTGAAGGTTAAGATTTTTGAAGAATAATTCATGTTTTGAAAAGCTCGTTATTTTTACCGATAACTGTCCAGGTCAGTACAAGAACTGGCAATTAATGGCTTTTTGGTTGCGTTAGCCAAGGAAAAGAAATTTACACAAATAACACATCATTTTCTGGTTAGTGGTCATTCTATTATGCTATCAGTCCGGGATTTTGCTCAAATTGAGAAACGCCAAAGAAACCGTGCACCAGTTAGTTATTGGCTAGATGGTTGGGCAGATATTATTATGAAAACAAATAAAAGTAAGCATTTTGTTGTTACGCAGATGGCAACGAATGATTTTTACAGTTTTGAACCTCTTCTAAATAAGTTAATAAAAACGCACATTTTCCTGACAAACAGATCTTAGATTTTGCTGGTCATTTTTTGTCAAATATAATGTCAATGGAGAATATCAAGAAGTTAATGTCATAAGAAAAGGCAGACCTGTAACAATAGAGTTGTAAACTTAAAAAAATACAAAGAGCCTCTGAAAATTGCAAAAAATAAATTAAAAAATATAAAAACCTTATTACCTTCCGCAAGTCTACCATACTTGTTATAATCAGCTAAAAGAAGCTACTGACAATGATAATGAAAAAGTGGAAATTGTAGATATATAATTTTAATATTTTTTTCCAATATGGTGTTACGATTTTTTAAATCTAACAATATGTAAAACCACTTTTTTAAAATAAACTTCATTTGTTTATAAGTATGTGTTTTTTTCTGTAAAATAATAAATGTTTAAGTGAACTCAATATTTTTAAGATTTTTTTTAAACTTTAAACCTTAATATTTTAGCTTTCTTATTTTGTGGCTTAACATTATGTTGCAATAAGGTCTTCAAATAGAGTTTTATTTCCTACAGACCGATTGCTGATAACTTCATAGTGATAAGAACATTTTCTAACATATTTCTCCTTGGTGTTGTTTTATTTGATCCTCAAGTTTTTTTTTTGAACCTATTCTCTATCCTTCCATTGTTGGATATAGGTCTCCCCCAGTTCTCTCCATCTTTCCCTATCTTGAGCTGTTCTCTGCCATGTGGAACCTCCTTGTTTCCTGATGTCATCTTTCCACCTCATCTGTGGTCTGCCTCTTGATCTCTTTGCATTGTATGGACGCCACTTTCCGATGGCATTGTTCCATCGTCCGTCTTGGAGACGTTCATTGTGTCCAACCCATTTCCATTTCAGTTTTGCTGCTTGTTCTATCGCGTCTACTGTCTTTGTTCTGGTTCTGATCCACTGGTTACGTTTTCTATCTCTAAGTGATACACCCAACATTTGTCTCTCCATCGCTCTTTGTGCCTTCCTTATCCTATCCAAATTGGCCTGTGTAAATGTCCATGTCTGTGCTCCGTAGGTGAGCACTGGTATGATACAGGAGTTATATACCTTGCTTCGTAAGTATAGAGGGATTGTTTGATTTTTTAGAACGTAAGAAAGTTTGCCGAACGCTGCCCATCCCATTCTTACTCGTCTCGATATTTCGGCTGTTTGATTTTCTCTATTAGCTCTGATTGCTTGTCCTAGATAGATATACTCATTTACCTGTTCTATTTTTTCTGTTTTTATTTTTATTGCCTCTTGGTCTTCCGTGTTTGTCATTACTTTTGTTTTGTTGAAGTTAATTTTTAGGCCTTTTTGCAGTGATTTTTCATGAAGTTCATTCAGCATTAATTCCAGTTCTTGTCGTTCCGAGGAGACCAGGAGTATATCATCCGCATATCTAAGGTGATTTTGGTATTTTCCGTTAATACATATTCCTCTGTTTTCCCAATCTGTTGATTTTATTATGTCTTCGAGGGTCAAGGTAAACAGTTTAGGTGAAATTATATCGCCTTGTCGGACTCCTCGTTTAACTTTTATATTATCCGTTATTAATTTGTCGTCCAGAATTACGGTCATGGTTGCGTTTTGGTAAATGTCATGTATCAATTGTCGGTATCTTGAAACTATTCTACTATTGACCAGAGCTTCTTCAACCGCCCAGTGTTCAATGCTGTCGAAAGCCTTTTCATAATCTACGAATGCTAAGTACAGCGGAAGGTTGTATTCATTGGTTTTCTCAATTAAGATTTTAAGCGTATGTAGATGGTCGATTGTGCTGTATCCTTTTCTGAATCCGGCCTGTTCCACTGGTTGGTAGTTATCAAGTTTATAGGTTAGTCGGTTGTTTATTATTCTTGTGAAGGTTTTATATAGTTGTGACAAAAGGGAAATAGGACGGTAGTTGTTTAGGTCTGTTCGGTCTCCTTTCTTATGTATTAAGATTGTGTTGGCATTTCTCCATTGTTTGGGTATTTTACCTTCAAACAGACATTTGTTGAACAGTATTTTTAGCATTTTTTTTATCGTGTCTCCTCCTTCTTTTAGCAGTTCCGCCAGTATTTTGTCCTCACCGGCCGCTTTATTTCTTTTCATGTCGTTTATGGATTTTTCGATTTCATCTTCAGTTATTTCTGGTAATACCTCTGAGCCAACATTTTGTATTTTCCTCGTGAGATTCTGTTTACATGATAGTGGTGGGTCATTTTTAGAACTGTATAGGTCTGTGTAATATCTTTCTGTGATTTTTACTATTTCTCCTAGATCTCTTTCTTCATTGTTCTCAGCTTTAAGCATGATTAGTTTTCTTTTTCCTATATTTGTCTTCATTGTTTTTAAACTTTTGTTCTTCTCTATGATTTTCTTAATGCGGTCTTCTTGGTATTTGTTTAAATCTTCCTTTATCTGTTTTCTTATGGTTTTATTCAGTTCGGTATACTCCACTGTATTTCTTTTGTTATCGTTCAGTAGTTGTCGTCGTTTTTTTAGCATATCTTGTGATTTAGCGCTAATTTTTTGTTGTTTTCGCTTTTGTTTATTAGCAATCTTCAGGCCTGCTTCTAGTAGTTCTGTTGTTATTTTATCGTTTAATTCGTCTAGTTGCAGACCCTTTAGCTGTGATATGTCACTTCTTTTTAGCTGGTTTATGTATTGTTCTTTGCGTTCTTTAAGAAGTTCTGTATCTATCTATTTTTTAGATGGTTTAAATTTTTGTCTGTCTGTTGTGGAGTTAATTTTGATTTTGTCTCTAACAATTCTGTGATCACTTCGTACGGAAATCATGTTTATGACCGTAACGTTACGGTCATTCTCATGTTATGGCTATTAAAATTCGAGATAAGTGACTTTGAGAGAGTTGGAGAAGATTAAGTAATTTGTATTTAGTTAAAGTTTTGTCTGGTGAAATATAAATGATGAAAATAGTGTAGCATTTAGGTTTCACATGTTTTAATATTTGTATGTTTTGATAGTTTAATCACTCTGCATTGTGAGTTGATGTTATTCTAACGAGGGACAATTTTACTTTCGTAACCTTCTTTGTTTTCTTAAGTAGATTTTATATATTTGTCTATTACTCTTTGTAAACTATTACCTGAATTAATGATACATATTAGTGTAATGCTAGCGCAAACTCTTCAATAGTACATTTTGGTTTCATTTTTGCGGCTTACAATTTTAAAAATTTATGTTTTTACACCCAGATATGTTTAGTAAATCTTACGTTTAAATATTCTGTCTGACACTAAAATATAGATACAGAAAGGTATTTCATGCTAATTTTAACTTTCCAAGTAATTTCAATTGCTTGATTTTCTTTAGTAAGTTTCCAACTTACTCAGCGTATAAATATTCATAAACCTTTAGCGTACTTGTTATATTTCCATTTTCTAGTAATTATTCAAATCCTAATTACCGATCTCGTAGGAAGAATTTTAGATGGATTCTATTATTTCGTTCAATTTGTTCAAAGATAT